CACATCTGGAAAAAATATTTCAAACCAGAACTTCATATCAGAACAGACTTACGTCACCACGTCTGGAAGAAACATTTCAAAACAATATTTCTTTCAGAGACTTACGTCACACACGTTCTGAAGAAACATTTAAAACATAGTTGCATGCCAGAACAGACTTATGTCACACACGTTCTGGAGAAACATTTAAAACATAGTTTCATGCCAGAACATACTTACGTCACACACGTTCTGGAGAAACATTTCTCAAATCAATATTTCTTTCAAAACAAACTTGTGTCACACACGTCTTGAAAGAAAACATAAGTATCTTTTCTCGATTCACAATTCTTATTTAAAAGATACAAAATTCCCTTTTTCACAATATAAAACAGTTTAAAACTGTTTAAAAAATATATGTGAATTACCATCTTTTAAAAACACAAGTTTTTAGCAACTTTTTCCTTCATCGGTTAACCTTATCCGAACAATACTTAAAAGGCCAAATATGATCATTGATCATACTCTGTCCGGGTACATCCTCATCGGACAACAAGTATCAGGATACACTTTCATCGGACAACACAATGTCCGGGTACAGTTCTTACCGTTCAACACTACAGAGTTTTAAACATAAAATTCAATTCTTTTAGGCGATGACTAATTTATCCAGACAACACTATGTTCGGTAAAAGGCCTTTATCGGACAAGACTATGTCCGGTTAGGAACCTCATCGGTCAATACAAGTTCTTATCGGTCAACACATAGAACCACTAAACTCCTCATGGGACAATGAATTTCATAAGAACACCATGAGCAGAAATATATGATACACCGACATATTCTTAAAGCCAATAAAAACCAACAACCGAAGTAGATTCAAATGTTGTTTTCGGTAAAGTAAAACTCACCTTAGTCTAGAATTTGAAAGAGAAATAGCACTTTGAATCTGTTTCTTGAATCCCGGACTTACTTCCAAAATTTGCAAGTATTTCACAGATTTCTCTCAACTTTCTAAAAGTGGCAGAAAATCTTTACCTGCCAAACTCTCCTTACTCAAATACCCTTCCTTCAATTGAAAGGCGGTTCAAATATAAGGAATATAAAACACCTTTTAGCACACCCATATGCATATACATACACACGCATAAGCCATATAAACCATGCATACTATGCATACATATAATATCCTCATATATTTCCATGCATACATACATACTCACATATTAAACTCATATAAGCATGTATCCACATGATCAATTATAGCAATTAATCAGATATTCACGTGATAATATAATCAAGTAATCACATAACCATTACCTCAAATGCATAACCATGACCCGGTCATCACATTTATGTCACATTGTAGGAAAAAGAAAGATTTACAAGGAAATCAACGTGTAGAGTACGACAAACATGCCTCATCAACTACATTGTACTTGTTTAAGATTATCTGGTTTTTAGTCGCACATATTTAATAAAATCAGACAAGACTGAAAATTGATACAATCGATAATACATACTGATAATTGTACCATACGAGGATAAAACAATATTTGACAACGATATGCTAATTCATTTTTTAAGTTTCTTAAGTTCTTTTTTCACTGTTTTCTAATGATTCCTCTAACAGTGACGGACCTAGGATTTTTGTCGAGCAAGTATACCTTTAAGGTGGATCAAAATCCTGCAAAATCGTTCGATTTGTTTAGTCAAATTCCACCTTCTTAGGGTTTTTTTTTGTTAATTTCGATGGACTTTATTTAGTTTTTGTGGTTTATTTCAAGAGACATATTCAGTTTTTTTTATTCGTATAAGGAAGAGATCATCTCTGGAAAAATTTTGATGCAACATTCTAGAAAAAATCGATGAAATAAGAGACGTGTATTAACTAGGATATTACAATATTTTTTAATGCAGTCCCATTAATTTTGGATAATTATTATGAAAAATTAAAAAAAATCAATAATTATGTTATATTTAGAATTTCCGATATGACTCTTTTTAACAATTTAAAAATGTAAAAAGGAAAATATTAAATGGACGGTTTGAATTGGGGTTGCATTGGTTGTAATAATGCGATTGATTGTATTTGAAATATACCTTATACACACACACACACACACACATATATATATATATGTATATATATTGGGTTAACAAAAGAATATACCTCTCTCTCTCTCTATGTATAGGGCTGAGTTCACGTGAGATCAACTTGTTTTTCGGAGACCCTTGAGATCACTTTTTTACACTTGGTTTCACGTGATACAAAGTTTGTGTATATATATATATATATATTAAGAAAAATAGTTAAAAAGACAAAATTATCCCTCACTCTAAGAGAGATCATTAATAGATTTAGTGATCAAGGATCACTTCAAATTAAAATGCAAACCACAAGGAAGATTTTTAGAGTTGTCAAAGTTTGAAGTCCCACTTTCAGACTTTTCACTAAACCTCAAGAACCAAAATTACAGCCTACTCTTTGATTTTAATTATGTTTTTGATTTTTACTAAACTACCTTAACGTAAAAAAAAATAAGTATATATACATTAAAAATTATATTGAATGGTATAATGGTCATTTACCTTTTATTTGACAGATTTCAATCATAATTAATTTAAGTATCACTGGTTTAAAAGTTAATTAGGTGACACAATTTAAAATTTTATTAATTTTACCGTCTCCTAAAACTTTTTAAATAACTGGATGACTTCAAGCTATATCATCCTTTTATAAATTGATTTGATGGTTGACCAGCACGACCTTAAGAAATGAATAACAACAAAAAAAATCGAACGTGACACCAGATATATAATAGAAGGCTAAGTTTCAATCTTTATGTCACATTATAGGAAAAAAGAAAGAGATACAAGGAAATCGACGTGTAGAGCATGGCCAACAATGCCCCATCAATTATATCGTACTTGTTTAAGATTATCTGGTTTTTAGTCACTCGTATTTAATAAAATCAGACAAGACTATGAAAATTGACACAATATGATACATACTGATGATTGTAACAGATGAGGATAAAGCAGTATTTGACAACAGTATGCTAATTGATTTTTTAATTTTATTGAAAAAAATCTCATTTGATCGGTCATAAACTAACTTTTTGGAAAAAAAAATATTTTAGAATTAAATAACTTTTAACATCATCATCTAGTTTAATAACTAAGTTTTATCAAATATGACTACTTTATTAGTTAACAACACATTTAAAACACCAAAAATAGCTAAATTATAGAAGGAACATACCAAAATAATGATATAATTAAATTACCAAAGTAATCAAATATTAGGAAACATAAAGACAATTAGAAATAGGAGTAAACTACAAATCTGGTCTATATACTTTGTCGAAAACAACATTTTCTGTTTATGTAGCTTCGAGATTATAAGGGTGTGATTGAGATTGCTTATAAAAATAACTTATTAACTTATTCCGGTGTGGTACCGGTAATAAACACTTTTGAGTGCTTGGATAAACAACTTATACCGGTGTCAAACCGGTAATAAGGAGTTTTTGAAGAAGTTATGAGGTGTTTGGGATTGCTTATTTGCAACAGCTTGTGCTTTTCTACAAAGCACTTATCAACTTATTATAAGTCAGAAGTGTTTAACTTCTTCAAAAACACCTTATTACCGGTTTGACACCGGTATAAGTTGTTTATCCAAACACTCAAAAGTGATTATTACCGGTGTCACACCGGAATAAATCAATAAGTTGTTTTTATAAGCAATCCCAAATACCTTATTAAACCTTTTTGACTTATAATAAGTTGATAAGTGTTTTTGTAAAAAAACATAAGTTGTTTCAAATAAGCAAATCCCAAACACCCCCTAAGATGACTATCTTGGTTTGCAAAAACACTAGGATTTGGTTCCTCCTCTAACGGCCGTTAAAAACTTCCGTTAAATGAAGGGCATTTTTGTACTTTTATTGATTATTTGCCTTTTACCCAAATCAAAATCCATTTTTATAATTTGTTTCAATTGGTTTTTGATCGATTAAAAAAATAGATAAAAAAATAGATAAAAAAATGAAAACATCTCTCATTTAACGATTTTTTTAAGTGGCTGTCAGAGAAAGAAATCAAATTAAGACGTTTTACCAAACCATTATAGTTATTTTATAATTTCAAAACTGTATAGATGAAAAACTGTTACTTTTGACTAACCAAAATGATCAAATTTGTATTTTACTATCATCTCTACCAAAGAATTAGATAAAAAATGTAAGTTACAATAGAGAAGATAGGCATGGCAACGGGGCAGGGATGAGGCGAGTTTTGTAATCCCCGGCCCCGGTTTGTAGTAACGTCCCCCGGCCCTGGTCCTCGGCGGATCCGGGGATTATCATCTCGTCCCCGGTCAAATCTCTAGCTATCCCCGATCAAAACCCGGTAAAACCCCATAAATAATATATTTAGTTTGATTCTACCAGGGATCCCCGACCCCAGTTTGAGTAACATCCCCTGGCCCCGGTTTGAGTCTACTGGGGATCCGCGGCCCCGGGACCCGTTTTAGCGAGGAATCCCCGTCCCCGTTTGGGTCGGATGAACCGGGTTCCTCACCGGATCGGGGCAAATCACCATCCCTAAAAAAAGATGAATTAGTTTTAGAGTAAATTACATTTTTAATCCCTGTGGTTTGTAAAATGTTGCTATTTTAGTCCTTCTGTTTTAGAAATTATAATTTTCGTTCCTATAATTTGTAACTTATTGCTATTTTCATCATGTGGTTTATAATATTTTTCTATTTTCATCCCTATAGTTTATAGTTATTCTCTGTATTATCCCTCCTAATTATATTTGAGAGCTAATTTTAGGAACGAAAATAATAATAAACTATAGGGACTAAAATTGTCCAAAAATGTGTCATTGAAAATAAAACAGAAAAAAAAAATTAAATCTTGCAGAGAAAAAGCCAAAATCCCACCGATAAAACCATGTTTTCCCATTGAAATTAGTAAACAGTGATGCACACAATAAATGTATAAAATCCCTTGCTGAAAACTGGCGAAGCCCCACTCGAAAAAGGTCCAGAAACATGAGAGGTCGAGGAAAGTATCAAAAAAACAACACATATACATACAGACAATCGATATAGATATAGAGAGAGAAACCCATTTTGTTGGGGGAAAAAAAAAAAAAGAGATCATTCCTCAAAGATCTTGATCGACGACAGAAAAGGGGAGTGTGTGTTCTTGGTGTTTGTGTGTGTGTGTTTCTGTTACTGGGTCGTCTTCATTGATTTCAGCAAAGAAAAAAAAACAAGATTTTATACAGAGATGCAAAAGAAAAGATGGAGGAAGTTAGGGTTGATGAGGAGAGTGCTAACGTGCGCCATAGCTTTGATATCATTTGTGGCTCTGTTTTCTGCTCATTTGCATCTGTTCTTCCCTCCTTCCCAAGTTTCCATGCTTCCTGATCCTTATAAGCTGCCTACGGTGAGTTTTTTTAACAGTTATTTTTGGGTTTCAGCATTGATTCTTGATGATTCTGACTAGGGTTTTACTTTTCTTGGAAATTTATTTGCTCTATTTTGTTGTTAATTTGTGTACTGTTCTTGGATTGATTCTATTCCATCACTTGGCTAAGAATGTGATTGTTTGTTTGTTTGATTTCTAAACCTAGATTTAAAGATTCATTTGCTAAAAGCTTCTGATTTGGGCATTTTTTCATTGGTTCAAACCCAAGATTGAAGGATTCATTTGCTACCAAATCTATGTTTTCAACACTTTAATCCCCAAAAGTTTCTAATTTGGGCAAAATCATTTGGGAAGATTATGGGTTTTAGTTGAATCTATCTTATAAGCATATGTAATCCAATAAGCAACTTTTAAGGGTTTTTGGTAACTTCTGTATAAGTAGTTTTCATCATTAAGCTTCTTAAAACCTTGTTTTTAATTTTTGTGGGTATTACTCGAATTTCGGATTGAGAATTTCGTCGCCCATCTTGGGTAGTTTTTTTAAATTTGTTGCAACTTAGGAGTAGTTTGGTAGTTGCTGAATGATTTGGTGCACAATGATTAAGTGATCAGAATGATTAATAGGCTCTCATGATATAGTTCAAAATGAAATATAGTTGTTTGGTAACTGTTTACAATGAAATTAGGGCGTTGAATGGTTAAGGGAGGCCTACGATACAAAATCATTCAGAGGGTTTTGAAACCATTAAGAGGCAGATTCTTTTTTTGCCAAACAAGATTCACCTCTTAACGATTCAGAGTCTGCCTCTTAATAGAACTATCAAGAGGTAAACAAACAACCCCTTAGATTTTTGGTCTTTTGGGGGGTTCTATTTCTTGATGATCTTCAAATTTCGATTTGAGAATGTCAATGAACTTGGATTATTTGCAGTAGCAGCATGTAATTTTTGAGTTTGTAGGGTTCTTTTCAAGATTTTGAATTGGAAATGTGTGGTTTTGATTTGTAGAATACATGAAATTGGATACCAAATGTTTTATTTCTTGGGTTATTTTGTGGGTTCCACACGAATTCGAAATGAGAACGTCACTAATCTTGGCTAATTTAAATTTGTAGCAACATGAAATTCGATACCAAAAGTTGAGCAGAGAGCGAAGCTGGATTCGACCCCATTTATCAAAAGCTCCTCTCCCTGCTCTCAAGGTTAATGTGATTCACTCGACATATAATCTCTATTTCCCTATTAATTTAATTTATAGTCTCTAGCTTTTAAATGCGATTAATCTTTGCCTTTCAAAAGGAAAAGAAAATTCGTCTACCCTTTTAACAAATTATCGATCTCGATTCTCAACAAGTTTGCTCTCAAAAGTGTCGTAAATGAGATGTTGATTGGAGCTAAAAATGTCGTATAGACACTCATGTATTTAAGAAAGAGCGATTTTGTACAAAATTTGGAACTAAAACCATACAAAACGAGAGCAGTATATCCAACCTGAAGATGGGAGGGGGGGGGGGGGGGGAGTTAGATGTATGCAGACCTGCCCTCTACCCAAAAGAGTAGACCGAAGCATTGCTTATAGACTTTTCTTTTTCCAATATTCCTTACTACTTGCGGGAGTTTTCTTAAAAATGATGGCTTGTTTGCAACGATGAGCCGAATACTATTGTTCAAAAAAGTCGTTCACACTGTTAGTTAGTGAGGTGTGTGTGTTTGTATTGATACGGAAGTAGTCATGCATCTTTCGTGTTTTCACTCCTTTAGACTTGACAGTTGGATGGTGCTAACGGCTCATCGGATTTCAACAAGTTGTGGAAGCGGCCACCAAACCGTGACTTTGCCCCTTGCGTTGACCCAAGTTTATCCTATATAGGTTAGGAACTCGTGATTTTGCTGTGAGTGAATGTATAAAGATTATTTATTTTTTTATCGTTGACTCGGTTTATGAACTCAGCTCCACTAGAAACTCGAGGTTACTTGCTTGTTCATACAAATGGCGGGCTCAATCAAATGCGTGCTGGGGTATGCTGATATTCTTGATCCCCTTCTCTTTAGATACTTGTATACTCCCTCCGTCCCAAAATAAACGTCCACAATGAAAAAAATACACAGTTTTAGAAATGTATAATTATTAAATTTTTAATCAACTAAATGACAATTTTACCCTTAATAACAGATGGAGTAATGAACTTCTCCATCTCATAATTAAAGGTAGAATTGAAAGGTAGACACTTATTTCGGGACATATTAACAATATCTTTATTCTTGATCCCCCTCTCTCTAGATATTTATATACTCCACCCGTCCCAAAATAAATGTCCACAATGCAAAAGGCACATCGTTTTAGAAATGTGTAGTTATTACATTTTTAATCAACTAAATGACAATTTTACCCTTGATAACAGAGGGAGTAATGACCTTCTCCATCTCATAGTTAAGGGCAGAATTGGAAAGTAGACACTTGTTCCAGGATAAACTAAAATAGAAATGTGGACACCTATTATGGGATGGAGGGAGTATTAAGCAATTGTATTTATAAACTTACTGTACTTCTCGTGTCCCATGAAATTCGCACATCATGAGTTTATGTCTTATTATCAAATAATTTGTTATAATACCCATCTTTACCTAAAAAACCCGACTCATTTTTTTGCAGATATGTGATATGGTAGCTGTTGCCCGGATTATAAATGCTACTCTTGTGGTACCAGAGCTCGATAAACGCTCGTTCTGGCAGGACACTAGGTACCAATTCTAAGAAACTACGAAATAATTCGATTAAACTTTTGGGTTTTGGATACTTAAGAGTCTATATATATGTTTGAAAATGCAGCAACTTCTCGGATGTATTTGATGAAGATTATTTCATTAAATCGTTGGTTAATGATGTAAAAATCATCAAAAAACTTCCACGAGAATTAATGACTGCCACAAGAGCGGTTAAGCACTTTAGAAGCTGGTCAGGTATCGATTACTACGAGCAAGAGATTGTAAGTTTGTGGGACGATTATCAGGTACACATATTCGTTTCAAAACCCTCATGTTTGAATTTTTATTACAAAGGAACAATTATTCGTGCAAAAAGTTAAAAAAGGGGAAATGATCTTTGAGGAATTGTGGAAATAAATGCCAAAAAGTTCTCTTTTTTCACATTTCTTCGTCCAAAATCATTTCTTCTTGCAAAGTTTATTGCTTTTTGTGCAATTTTACAATCGCTATCGTTTCTTGGGACAAAAAGGCCAAATACGAATGGTTTTGAAAAGTAAGGCATCTTTAAGGGTGCATTTGGGACGGACGGGACAGGACAAAACAAAAACTTGTTGTTTCACGTTTGTTGCAACATTAGATTAGGACAAGACGAGACTGAGGAGCATTTTTGTACCATCAAAATAAGTGGAACAAAAATAAGGAAATGGGACAAGATTGGTAAATTATCTATACTACCTTATAAGCCAGATTTATTAAAAGTCTTAAAAACAATTTTTAATGCACAAAGTACTATACATTTATGCACAAAGTCTTAAAAACAACTCATAATGCATTAAGTACACTTTACCATGCACATTATTACCTTTTCTTTTCATGTTTCCAAGATACTTTTAACACCTTTCACATATGCCTTCACCCTCTCATACCTTTATGTCTTCTCCTCATCCCCCAAGGTGAGATTCAATCTGATATTCACCATGAGTTATTAAAAGTTCTCCTATTTATCTCCCATTTCATTGCTCTAGAACTCTTGGTCTCGATCTCTTGATTATTTGCTCTTGGTGTAATCGAACACATTTGTGGAGTTGTTTAAATATGTTGGATTTTAGATAGACTGTAATTGGAACCATAACTCTTATTTATTCAAATTGTATTAATATGTAAAGACCAAGTGTAACTTATATCATCATTAAATCTTCTCTAATAAAACCAGTGAAACTTCAAAATCGTTAAAATTCACGGCTCCCGCCGCATTGCGTGTGTACCACAACTAGTTAAACTATGTATGTTAAATTATAATCCAAAATCCTTTCACAATTTTTTCACCTGCTTACCTCACTCTCGCCTGTCCAATCCAATCTGCATACCAAACGCCCCCTAAGATTTAGAGAAATAATTGATACATAATCTTTAACAAATATGTATTTTACAAGTTCAGAATCAATACATACTATTTACATTTGTAATGCCATTTCCGCTCCTATTTATAAGTCTGATTGTGCTCTTCCGTGTAGTCATTTCCTTCTCACCGAAGGTTTAATATATTCTTATCGAGCTCGAAATTGAATATAGTTTGTCTGGCATTCAAAGTCACATATGATAACTAGTTGGTTTTTCTTTTTTAATCCCTCTTTTCAGGTTATTCGGGCAGCCAAATCTGATTCAAGACTAGCTAATAATAACCTTCCTCCGGATATTCAGAAATTGCGTTGTCGTGCATGTTACAAGGCCCTCCGATTCTCGCCTCGCATAGAAGCAATGGGAAAAGTAATAGAACTGTTGATTTTGTTCAATTTGAATTGTGGGTTCGTTATATAGTATCTAAATACGCCTTTTCTTTCTAGTTGTTGGTGGACCGGATGAGGTCTTATGGTCCTTACATTGCCTTACATCTGCGATATGAAAAGGACATGCTTGCTTTTAGTGGATGCACACATGATTTATCCATTGAAGAAGCTAATGAACTTACGGCTATTAGGTGAGTACCTACTTTCCGATTCTACCCTTAAATATGAAATGGAGAAATTCATTACCGCCTCTATTACTAAGGGCAAAATTGTTATTAGTTAATTAAAAAGTGTAATAATTACACATTTCTAGAACTACGTGTCTTTTTCACTGTGGACGTTTATTTTGGGACGGAGGGAGTAATGATAGTCTCGTGTTTTTTTTGTAGAGAAAATACGTCGTATTGGAAAGTGAAAGATATTGATTCCACAGAACAAAGAGCAAAAGGGTATTGTCCATTGACTCCAAAGGAAGTTGGATTTTTCCTTCGGGCTCTTGGATTCCCACCGACAACTCCTATATATATTGCCGCCGGAGAAATATATGGCGGTGATTCACGAATGGCCGCTCTACAATCTCGCTTCCCCACATTAATGAAAAAGGTAATTCGGAATCTGCTCTTGACTATTTGAAAATAGTAATACACTTGTTGAAAATTTGGATATTGAAGAGTTAATAATAGAGAACAACTATTTTGCCATCACAGGAGCGACTACATTAAATTCATTGTCTGTTCGTTAACAGCTTAATGAGACTCACAGCCACAACTTATGTGGTCAGCTATTCATGACTGTTTGGTATTGGCTTAATTATCTAAAAAGTGGCTTATTCAGTAAACTTTTAGAAGGAGCTTTATGCAGCAGCCATTGGCAAGTTTATTTTAAACCTGCCCCTCCCACTTAAAAAAACTCTTTCCATCTATGAAAAAACTCTCCCAAACAAAAAGTTTCCCAATCTATACAGACAAATTAATGCATACGGTCAGTTTTATTCATACAAGACTTAATGGAAAACAACCAAACAACCCCTAAATTGTCAAATGACCAAAATTATTAAAATCTTGTGTTTATTTTTGAAGGAAAAATTGGCAACTGCCGAGGAGCTTGATCCGTTCATCAACCATGCATCTCAAATGGCTGCTTTAGATTACATTGTGTCGGTGGAGAGCGACATTTTCATTCCCTCTTATTCTGGGAACATGGCAAGGGCAGTTGAGGGTCATCGACGCTTTTTAGGACACAGAAAAACTATTTCTCCCGACAGGCAAGTTATTTTAGTTCGAAAATCATCTCCTATTTTGCCAAATTATCGACTTTTCAAACTTTGTGCTTTGGCTTTTTATTTCAATTGTAAACAAGCTGTAGTTCTTAATTGGTGTTTCTTGCAAACTATGTGTTTAATTTACCATTTTTGCAAGATTCTTGGTTAAGTTGTAATAAAAACCAATGCAACTTTCCAACAAGTCAAGATAGCATATATTTTGTGGACCAAAATGCCCTTATTTTGTTGTTATTAAGGGGTATTATTGTATTTGCCGCTCGACATTTTTATCGGTCTTCAAGTATTACTCCTTGATATGATCTTCTGATCTTTTTCTTAACATTTTGTTACTCTTTCGTCTTTCAGAAAACTCCTTGTTCGTATTTTCGACAAAATTGCTAATGGCACCATGAAAGAAGGGAAAAAACTCTCAGGTCGGATAATTGAGATTCACAAAAGACGGTACGTTCCTTGTCTCTCCAGTGCTAATGATCTTCGTTGCATGATGTGATTCATAAATGGGCCTTAGGATATAGACATGCGCTCAAAAGGACCGGCACAAGGGGTAAAATGGTCAAAACTTTAAAATTATTTGGTCATAGTCAAATTGACAAGGAATTGTTTTGATATCTACATATCAACCACTTGTATTTGTACCTCGGTTGCTTGTTTGCATACGTTCTCACCTGTAGCTTGCTCTCTTGTTTCTTTTATATTTTGTTTTGCAAGCCGGGGGGTCTTTTTGGAAACAACCTGACTTAACATATGTGTGGGATTTATTGGGTTTGTTTGGTTTGGGTAAACACTTGTAACGTATATTTATATACGTCAAAACTCACAAGGTTTGAAACCTTTGACTTTCATAGAGGTAACCTGGAAACCGTTGGGCCAATGAGTCTTTGGTAACATTAGTATTCTTCTTGCTAAACGAATAGCCAACTTGCTTTGTTGTATTCCAAATGGTAAATTCTTGATTTTTGATGTCGTCTTAATCTTGGATTTGTGAAGGCAAGGTTCACCGCGGAAAAGAAAAGGTCCCATCTCAGGGACAAAAGGAACGGATAGATTCCGTTCAGAAGAGGCGTTTTACGTGAACCCTTTGCCCGACTGCTTATGTCAGAAGGAATCAACAGAGAACGAAAATAGCACGATGGTGATGAAATAGACAAAAAACGACTTGTTTTGTCCATTTTGAAAGCTGGTTTTCGGGGATTATTGCAGGCGTTGTATATCGATGAGGAAGTAGTAGATACAGTTTAGATGAAAGCTGTTTGAGAGAGAAGGATAGTTGATAGAAGAATTAGAGTAGTGTTCTGTGTATTCAATCCATTCTTAAAAGGACATGTTATTGAAAGCAAATAAATAGTGAAAGATAGCAGAAAGTTTAATTAGTTACCTCTTATATTATTACATCTTTTCTTGCTTACTTTCATACAACATTATGCTCAAATTTTAGATTTGGTCCCTAAACTATATTAGATACACTAGTTGTCTTTAATTTGTGTAACAAATTGGTCCATGTACCTAACAATGTTAAATCTTGGTTGGTCTGTATGGGTCAAGATCTTTGAAATCATAAACATTAGATTTGATTTGATTGTTCAAATGCTTCCAACCCGATCAACCCAACCCACAAACACCCTTAGCTAGCACTTGGTTGGATAAACAGCTCAACGTTGATGGCCACCATTTTAGTTGTAGCAAATTAAGAAAGAAATGTCAATAAAATTCACATACTAGTACTATTAATCTTCACATATCATCCAAACATAGTACTTTTAATCTTCACATATCATCCAAGCATAGTAGCACAAAACAAAGAACGGAAATCAAATACTAGCAGTAAGGAGGTACAAACAAACAAACTAGAAGGTTAATATCGTATCTGGCTAGACTTTAACAAGATAGATTGCAACTAATATGTTATCCATGCATTAAGCCCTCTCCCCCCTGATACGCCTGGCGAGCTGAATGTCTTTGGGCATGATGGTCACACGCTTGGCGTGAATCGCACACAGATTCGTGTCCTCAAACAGTCCCACAAGATAAGCTTCAGCTGCCTCTTGGAGTGCCAGCACTGCATGGCTCTGGAAACGCAGATCCGTCTGCAAATATGAAAAGTAGAATTTAACTTTGAGAACCATCGACCATTCATCAGAATCGTCAAGTAAAATCACATATCATGGAATCCCTCTGTTCTGTCATTTATTAATACTTAAAGACATCTTGAAATACCCTCCAAATCCAACATGAAATTAGGAGAAATGTGCAACTATTTGTCAAATATCTAAAATAGCATTCAAGAAAGACCATATCTTGAAATACCCTCCAAATCCAACATGAAATTAGGAGAAAGGTGCAACTATTTGTCAATATGTAAAATAGCATCCAAGAAAGACAATCAATTTATTTGACATTATCAAATGGGCAAACCAGCAACTTTAACTTCAAAATGCTCCAATAACCACAAATCCTAATATTTATGATGAACCAACCTTAAAGTCTTGAGCAATCTCACGAACAAGCCTCTGGAAAGGCAGTTTCCTGATTAGAAGTTCGGTACTCTTCTGATACTTGCGGATTTCACTGCAAGATAATACCATCCAACATCACAATCAAAAGTAAATAAGAATGAATGAAACATTAAAGTGCACAACTCAAAGCCACAAACCGCAGGGCAACAGTTCCTGGTCTGTATCGGTGAGGCTTCTTCACCCCTCCAGTTGTTGGAGCAGACTTGCGAGCAGCCTATCATGCCATAAAAATCATAATCACAACTTTGTTTCAGAACCAAACTAAAAATAGAAACGTTTCTATCATGTGGGTCCCAATCATAAATAATATTGGGATACAATATAGAAAGTATGGTTCGAATCAAATACATGGACCAGTTAAGAAGATAAGTATGATACCTTGGTTGCAAGTTGCTTCCTAGGAGCCTTCCCTCCGGTAGACTTACGAGCAGTTTGCTTAGTACGAGCCATCTACAATTGTTACAGTTGTTTAAACAACTATAAGATTTGCACCAGATAAACCAAACCAACCAAGTGTATCAATATCCCATGAGAGGATGAATGTATGCAGACATAACCTCTACCTCAAAGATTTGCACTAGATATCTAATCAAAAACCAAACTATAGATCTTTTCATCATACTCTAACCTAAATTAGACCATTTAAAGAATATTCTAATCGCTTTCATAAGAAATAGGTAACTCAACTCAAGTCCAAATTGGCAAGAAAACTTTCAGTTTTAAGCTCCAAATGTTGAATATTTTTAATAAATACTACAAAGTAGAATGTAAATTTCAATTATTTCTATGAAACCAGAAAGGATCACATCCCTTTATATTGGACCGGTTGTCTGATTCAAATAAATATAGTAATTTGCTACGATCATCAACAGAATATTCACGCACACACAGCCTACGTATGTATATGGTTCTTACCTCCAATTTCAATAAGTAACTTGTGACAATAAACGAGGACAAATAGGCGCAAGGGAATGATGAAACGAATTGTGATTAGGGTTTTACAAGGTGTATAACCAGACGAAACAACCTAATTCAATTGAGTTCTCCAATGAAACTGAACAGTGGTCATACGAAATCACTTTCTCCGACCAAAACAAAACCCTAGAACTAAAACAATCGCGGAATGATTCGGGAAAACCCCAAATCCACACAATTAAACGAAATAAACAAAAACAATGAAGATATTGATGCCATAAACCCTAGATCCGTAACGAGAGCAGATCGAAGATGAGAAGGAAAATCGAGAGAGAAGCATACCTTGACCAACTATTATCTCTCGAAAGCTTTGAAAATCTTTGAATTTTTCTCTTGATTGCGCAAGATCCTATCTTTTATAATGGTTTTACTGGTCGGGTCGGATATATTACTGGGTTTCGGATCCCATTCACCCGTTTCTCTCTTTATATATACATTTAGAAGAACGGTGTAAATTTTGGATTAATTTTTTAAATAACTTGTCTAAAGCATTATCTTAATGAACTGTATAATATATATGGTTTATTCGTTCAGTCATAAATAATCTTTCGGTTGTAGCTTATTCGGGCTGTCCATAACTTAATGGCTTGGCTAGGAACCCATACTCCTTTAGACTCGACCATTTTATTTTCCATTAATTCCCCAACTACCCCTCAACCTCTCATCTTCAACCCAAGAGACGATTTGCACTCCAATATGAACTGGTACTGAAATGATTTCTCATTTCTTTCCATCTTCCAAACTACACTCCTTCCATCTCCATTCTTTCCATCTCTCGATCTCTATTCCTCGAACCCTATAATCTGTATTTGAAGTTTGGATGACTATCAAATATGGAATCAAAACTGTGACTATCAGATGTATATTAGGTCGCCAATCCATGTTTGATCTACATGTGTTTCGATCTGATTTGGATGATTCCAAGGAGTGGCTTTTGGTTTTTTTGGATGCAATTAGTTCTTAATGTGGCTTTTGGTTTATTCTGTTACAGTGATTTTGGAATTTTTGTGGTTTGTTCATTCCACGATTTTTCCTATATTTTTAGAATTCTAGTTATGGTTTACTTAGGTCGTTTTGATTTATTTATCAACTTATGCTACTACTATACCATGCAACCTGCGGTACAGTGACCACTAGTTTGATTATATTTAAGATAATTTAGTATTTCTATTATGTTGAATTGATTGAAATAGTCAATCTTCACACTCTATTTCACTTTATTGCCGCCTTTTTAAAGTAATTTCCTAAATAGTCGAAATTTATGCAAATGGATCTACACAACTTATGTAATCCCTTTGTTTTTTCAAATTATTATGCAATTGGACCCATTTTAACGCAAATGCACCCCTTTTTTTTATGCAAGTGAATCAAACTTTACTCAAGTGGACCCAGTTTTTCTTATTTCTTTAATAGAAAAAGTGGATTATGCAAGTTGCATAAATCTATTTGCGTAAAATCCGGTTATTTCACGAATTACGTTATAAAGATGACTATAAAATGAAGAGAGGGTTGGGAATTGACTATATCAGTCAATTTCCCAATAAATATTTGTGATTCGAAAACTTGATCTTTTCATATGAAAAAAATAATACAAGTTTTCAAAACATGTATATTTTATTGTTTATAAAAGTAAAATAAGAATAAAATTCAAATTCTATTATATGTTACTATAAGGATACTCGCGTAATACAACGAGATTAATCTTTATTTTAATATTTATTTTTTATTTTTTGTCTCTATTGATATAATGTGATTTTATGTGGTTTTGAGAAAACGATAATGTTTTTATTTCTGAATTAAATATAAATTTGAAGATAGCATAAAAAATCGAGATTAGTATTAAATTAACTATTTAATAGTTCTCGTTTTTTTGGTGTAACTTCTTTAATTTAATTTTTTATTATAATTTAATTTAGGTCTAATAACAAAGTAATTTATTTTTGGTTTAATAATATAATTTTTTATTAAAGATAGTAACTAAACATTATGTTAGAAACTCAATGATTATCTTAATTATATTTTTAGATTTTCCATATTTAAAATAGATGTTTATCCTCTATTTGATTACGTTTATCTGTCAATTAATTACACGAATTTAAAAATGGAGCTTTAATAAGTTGTACTTACGCAAAATCACTTGTAATATTGAATTTTAAGTAATATGCATCAATAAACAGTATTTCATACATAAAAATTGATTTTTAAGATTTTTTATCAAATGTTTTATAATATAGTATAGATTTATTTGCACATCTATATCTATACTATATTATAA